TATCGACATAATTTGGGATACGGGGGAATAGTTTGCACTTCGATACACAGACCTAAAAAGACCAGTTTAAAAAAACAGCCGCGGCAGAAATATAACGTTGCTTTTAGGTGTTTTTTTTAAGTTTTACTAGTGATTAAATCTATTTGCACCGTTTTAACGCGTCGATATACAGAAATGGCTATCTTAGCAACCATGTGCCCCCAATATGTAAATAGGAATTGGCTTACGACTCATTCACCTCGTAAACGCTCCTCTATTTTGGCTGAAAAGCCTGCGCCATAATGACCACTGAGGAATGTTGCTAAAACAGATTCCCTCGCTTTGAACCAGAGCCCCAGGATCGCGGCAAAAATTACAGGGGCTTTGAGCGTTGTCAGTGTCGCGCTAATAGCGGCTGGCATGCTTGTGTTATCCACGCCTCATTCACATACCACTACTCGACCTGTCTCGCTGTATAAAAAAGCGCCAATCTTGCTTTCATGGTTGGTCATTTAGATTTGACGAGGTTCTTTTTTGCGATAATATTGGACAAAAATAGCGTACGCCACTTTTCAGTGGCTTTTCCGGTCTGGTGACGCTTCAAAGGAATGGCAGAATCTGTTCCTCAAATTGGAAAATTGTTCATCATAAAAAAGTAATCCTGTGGAAGTTGCTCTCTGGGAGACAATACTGTCAACTGCACGGAATTCCCGTATCTCAGTTTTGAAAGCTATGAAATATTGTAATAGCAAAGTAAACGTTCGACCTTTGTTGCGTTTCACTGTGTCATTGTGAATGGTTGAAAGGAATTGCTTTACTTCTAATGCCTTTTTTGATACACCCTCATAACATAAAAAAGACTGAAACTTTCAAGTTGTGAGTATCTACACTTGAATTTAAACAAACAAGGGTGAAGTGTGAAGACGTAAGCGATATATAAATTGGACAACAGGACTTTTTAAAAATAAATACCCCCCCCCCCCCCAACCCCAACAAGAAAAGAAAAATTTAAAACATTTGCCACGTCCACGCGATCTTGATCAAGATTGATGGCAAAGGTGTCCGGTATCTTGTGTTATTCATACTGATAGATAACGTGGAAAATTTAGATTGCGAATTTCCAGCCTGCCTAAAAGTATGGCTGTGGGAAAGAAGTTCTGTTTCGTAATTCATTAAAATTAATATTATAAAAGCTATAATGAAAAAAAATCCTAATGAAAACCTACGTTGGTTAGAAGGTCAGGTACAGTAAATGACATAATTGCATTTGATTTTGTTGTGTACCTGTAAAATGTGTCTTTCTTTTGGAATCTACCAAAGGAAATCGTTTTTACTGTCACAGCATTGAGGGAAATATGGTCAAAGGGAAACAACCAGTAAATATGGGGGCTTTTTTACTTGTTACTTCCCCTGATTGGCTGGCAACCCACAGACGCAACTGAGTTGCTCAAGCGTTGACAGCCATGTTATATAATTATTATACCGGTACGTTTTGTAAATGTTTTTGCAGGTTCTGGGAATTATTTGTTGTAGTTGTTGTCTTAGTTTTATCTTTTATTAAAAATGTCTAGCTTGTTTAAAACAGTTGCCACGTCCACGTGATCTTGATCAAGATTGATGGCAAAGGTGTCCGGTATCTTGTGTTATTCATACTGATAGATACCGGTGGCCTAGTGGCTAGGCTCTCGGACTCGCAACCGTAAGGTCGAGAGTTCGAATCCCGTCAGGGGCCCGACGTTGTGTCCTTGGGAAAGGCACTTTGCACAAATTTTCCTCACTTCACCCAAGTGGAAATGGTTTTGATTGATTTGATTGGGTAGATGTTTTACGGCA